AAGGTGGAGAGAAGATGGCGAGAAGGTGGAGAGAAGGCAGAGAGAAGATAATAAGTAATGTTTTAATCTTTGCTTATATATTACGTTCAATCGACATTTTATCAGTTGATCAATTGAAAAGTAGAGGGGAAAAATATTTGATAAGTAGAGGTGCGCTTTCATAATGTTAAATGCCCAGGAACAGTTTTATGGCAAGGGTTCTCACTTCTCTTTTTTTCTCGGTAATATGTCTCCATATTGCTATTTTATCGATCTATATATTACTGGGGCAACTGAATATCTACTCGCGCAGACCAAAGAGTGTTACCCGCAGCGCCCGTGCAACAAATAAATGCAAGATCTCTTCTGATTTGCCAATGGCTATTGTTTCAGTTTCTCCTCTCTTCTCCTGCCTTGCCTTGCCTTGTCTTTTCTTTTCTTTTATCCGTCGTTAACTTGTTTCAACCAAACCCTTTATCAGTCTTGAGGTGGCTGTGTTACGCATCAGCTTGAAAAAATCAGAATTTTCCAGATGATTCCATGTTAAAAAAACACGTTCAAATCCTTTCCTTATTTACTTGGGCTGGTTAGAAAATATTTAAAAATCGTGACCTTTTAAACAGCTCCATGTGTATTTTTGGAGAACTCATTAAATATCTATCTCAAATTCGATTCACTAAATAACTGTGGCTTGATTTTTTTGGCTGCAGAACCAGGACTGCAGAGAATAGAGCAGTGTTTTCTTATAGACTGGTATTGATAGTAAAAATATATCGCTTTAAAAACAAGTTTGAATTGGATATAGAATCCAATTTATACTTTGGGAATAGGAGAGCAAGAAACGAGTGACTGAAAAACGTGTAAGTAAGAGATATTTCATAGTTAGCCCTTAGTTTTTATTTTAGTGTTTCAAATATGTTCGTAGTCAACTTCTAGGTTGAGCTAATCAACTAAGGTACCATGATATTTTTCCGTGAATATATTTTTCCATAAGAATATTACATTTTGTATTGTAAGAAAACAATAGAGAAAAGAGAACAACAAGGAATCTATAGCACCCAGAGTATATTTGCACTAATTGGCCAATTTACATACGGTGTGAATAACGTGTAGTATCGACCTCGCACTACGTTTGTCCGATGGATCTCTCGCTCAGATAAAGCCTTATTTTGATTGGATTCTATTCTATGATTTTCACGAGCGCWGCTTACATCTGCATTAATTAGTCGTTATACGCAAAATGGTGTCTGTGAATTTGTTGAATGTTGACATGCGCTGATAATTAGATGATAATTCAATACCTGAGGGGTATATATAATCTCATTACCATATTGCTTAGTTTCACTGATAGCGTCTCATTCTGGTGAGTATATATTACGGCTCTGTGACCTTTAATATATGCATTTATCATGTATGTTGAATTTATCAGGAAAAAAGTCAATTTCAAATAGCCTCTTCTACAACTGTATTTCCTGATACAGTCAACACTCGCCTTGCATGCGAACACCCCGATATTATGGACGCCCCAATATCGTGGACAGGAGCAATTTCCCCGGTGAAAAATACTCGCAAATGAATGACCATAATTAAAATTCGCTAATTGCGAACGCTCGTTATTACTGACACCAAGTGAAGGTTCCGAGGATGTCCGCTGTAACGAGAGGTGACTGTAGATTGAGAAAACCTTACACCAACAGAAAAGTCTTCTTCTTTCTTTTGGTCCTGTGCTGTGCTTCTTGTTCTTGTCAACAAATATTTCTTAATATTATCCATTTATAATCTTATCAGGATTGATTGTAAATTTTTTTCTTTCTAGTAACATGAAGGTCCTCTTTCTTTTGGTCCTTGCTACCTTTCCTGTTCTTGTCAATCCAACCAAGCTTGTCAACAGTTGCACTTCTTACAAATCCCGAGCGTGTCGACAGCACTTTATCTACGGGAGCCTTGATATCAACTGCAGGTCACACAGCAAAGCCTGTGATCAAAAGTGTATCCGAGCAGGTTGCTCTATGAATTGTGCCACTTCAAAACCTTGCAGACAAAGGTGCGTCGCTAGTGGCTGCAAGACTATGGTCTGCAATTCTCATAAATGCACTCAATCGTGCCTTCAGAGTCGCTGTCAGATGGAATGCAATGGCGAGAGATGCAAACAGTCTTGTGAAGGAGGTTTCTGCAACATGACTTGTCCTGGGAGCGCTCGGAAGTGCATTCAAAGTTGTCAGGGAGGGGGATGCTTRATGGTGTGCCCTAAAGGAGTGGAATACTGTGAGCAGTACTGCAGCAGAGGAAAATGTTTTATGATGTGCGCAGGGAGGGTTTGTCAACGCACGTGTGGATCAAATGGAGAATGCAGAGTTTCAAACAGACCAATAGTAACCAGCCTTACAAGACCCTCATCCAGGAGTAAAATGAACGAGTGCAGCAGTGTAAGCTACAACATGTGTTTCCAAAAATGTCTACCAGGAAAATGTGATATATYATATGACAACATTAAGCCACTAGGGTGGGGCAGCACCCAAGTTTGCCTCGGTGGAAACTGTGTCTTAGGATGTAATAACAAGAACGGTAAATGCTGGCAGAATTGCCCGGGAGGTAGATGCCTCCCTATGACATGCAACTCTAGGATGTGCATTCAGGAATGCGGTGGAGGTGCATGTGTTATGAGATGCACAGCTCTGAAGTGCAATCAAGTCTGTCTTGGTGGGGCTTGTACCATGGAGTGCAGTAGCAGAGTGAAAAAGTGCTACCAGTCATGCCAAGGTGGTGGGTGTCTATTCAAGTGCAATGCTCGGCGATGCTTCAAGCTGTGTCCATCAGGAAACTGCAGGTCAATCAGTCCTCCGACTGTCCTGCCTAAAATACCTGGAGAGTGCAAGTATATGAAATCCGGACGGTGTAAACAGGAATGCAGCCAAAAGAGATGTGCGTTGAGCTGTAAGGGCTCTAAGCCCTATGGATCCTGCGACCAGACATGCGCCCAAGGAAGATGCCGCTTGAAGTGCCATACACCAAACTCTTGCAAACAGACCTGCAAGAGGGGCAAATGCATTGCAATGACGTGCAAGTCTAAAAAATGTACTCAGGATTGCACAGGGAATCAATGCCGTATGGCCTGCACATCTGACAACTGTCAACAACGTTGTAACGGCAGAAGTTGCAGCATGGACTGTGCGAGTGGGACCAAGAATTGCCATCAAATATGTGATGGAGGTGGCTGTGTTTTCAATTGCCACGGAAAAAAGTGCACTTATTCTTGTAAGGGAGGAGGTTGCGTTACCCGTGTTGCCGAGGCTTCTCCGGATGCATCCAACAAAATATCCGACAAGACATACTTCCTATCTCTCTTTTCCAAGAAAGGTCAAGGTCGAGTTGACTGAGGATAAGATTGGTCAACACCACAAACAATAGTAAAAAACACATGTGCCAATTGGATATGGAGTGTCTACAGGAGACTTCAAGGTATCTTGGTATGTCACGCATTTTACAGTGCATAACGCAATGTTTTAAACCATAAACAAATCATAACTGCAATTTAAGTTTTTTAAAACTTCGAATTCAACGTCATATTCATATATCCTCACATTTATAAAATCAAAGCATTCTATAGAAGGAAATTGGCCATATATTGTGTGATACGCCTATACTAATATAATTTTCGAATGTCAGGGACGAAATTGTATTTTTAACGAATGGAAGGCACTCCTAAAATATTAACCAACATTTCTTACAGGACAAATAATGTGAATTGTTATGCAGGGACATTATGATGAATATTAATAATCATAATAAAAATGATATTTAGTATAGCCTTAGATAAGAGGTAAAGGCCCTGATTGTAGCTTTCATCCAGGAAACATTTTATTCATCAATTAATGACRTTTTTACGTGGTTTACGTGGAAAATAAACTAGTGGAATGGTCGCGACAACACTCGAAAACATCACTAAATCGCACGGCCATAAGCGTTAAGCCCCGTTTACACTGGCGATTTTTGTGGCAATTTTCGGAAATATGAAATATTTTGTCTCATTCTTCAAAAGAGACATTCGTCTAGGAAAATCTTGGTATCCTGAAAAAAAACTTAAACAAGTAAATTCTTTACCATCATTTATTATGGACAAAATCGCAAAAAAA